AAGGACAGGAGGGACAGGAGGAGCGGCCCCACTCACCCGCACGGGCTCCAGGCGGTCGGGGCGCACTCGGGGGACCGCGGGCGAGGATGGACCCTCGGCGCTCATCGCTCATCGCCGCTGCCACAAAGCCGAACTCGGGACCCGCGGCGCCCGCGCCCGTGAAGGGCTGGCGCGTCCACCCGCGCAGAGCTCTCTCGGGGCTCAGCCTGCTCCGCCCACCGACCCGAGCCCCACCCACCGGCCTGAGGCCCCTCCCACCGGCCAAGGTCCCGCCCACACGTAGCCCCGCCCACTCCTCCGGAGTAGCGGGGAGGGTACCTGCGCGCCCCCACCAGTCCCGACGCCCTGCCGGGAGACCTGCGCAGCGCCACCCGCTCGGTGCCAGAGCTCCGCCTGCATCTGTCTCCCTGAGGTCCGTCTAGGTGCTCAGCTTCTGACGTGCGCGGCAATCGTAGGTCTCCCACGTCGGGGTCCGCGCCTCGCCACCTGGGCCGCAGTACCCGCTTTCCCGAGCTGGTGAGCCTTGCTCTCTGATCCGCAGGTTCTGCCTGGACGCCAAGCCCGGGCCATCCTGGTCCCCTACGGTCCCCGCGTGCTCCCGGGAGCAAGGCGGGCGCCGGGTCTGCGGCACCGGAGTATCGGAGCTTGTGCGCTCCGGCTGTCCTAATCTAACGGCAGGGGAAAGCTAGCTTGGGATGGTCTGGGTCGTGCAAACGCGCGGGCTGCCAACTTCTCCTCTCCCCACCTCCCGGGCCAAACCCTGCACAGTAAGGCCCGCGCGGGCGCCAGACGCCGAGGAAGCACTGAGCAAGCCGATGGAGACCTCCGGGATTTCGACCCCATCTTGTGACCTCGAGCACACCTGGCTTCTTAGCTGGCTGGACAGAAGAGCAAAGCTTTCCACATTCTCTGTCTGGCAAAAATCTGCCCTCATTTCTTACTGTTATCCCTGAGAGTGAGCCCAAAATGAGGTCTTCTTACACCTGCTTGGCGCCCCTCCCGAAATAAAGT